TATATATATATATATTAAGAGTATAATATTAAAGAACATAATAATACATACGAAGTATCTTAGAGTTAAAATTAAATGAATAAAACAAAATATACAGCACAGCAAGAAATATATAAATGATTATTCATTTGAGTAAATCTGAAATCGGTAAAAACGAAAAGAAAAAAAAAAGGAATAAAGATAATTTTCTACAATTTTCCGTATATATAATCACTGCAACAAAAAGTGTTTTGAACAACATAAAAAGTGTTTTTAACAATATTAAAAAATATTGATAAATTATTAGTAGATATTATTTAATATATTTTTATTACATTTTATAAGTGTAAGATAAAACTTATAGACTTTTAACGATATTTTATATATTAATGTTAATATTTTTAAAAATGTTATTAAAATGATATTTTTGTAACATTTTAATAATGTTATTAATTTTTGTAAATTTTATAAAATGATAATTAAGTTATATTATCACTTATATTTTATGACTCTTATCTACAAGTCATTTAAGATTTAAAATTTTTTAAATTTAACATTTTTTAACTAGAAATATATTTAAGTTAATTACTAAATTTAAATCATATATTAAAGTTTATTTATCTTAAATTTTACTTTATTATTATAAATACGAGATCTCGCGTAAGCGTCGTTTGCCCATTGCCAATAGGATCGACTTGGGTATATATAATTTTTTTTTAATGTGTAACTTCAATTTTATCAAATAATTAAATATAGAAAAAGTATAAAGAATAATATTGAGATAAAGTAATGTTATTATATCTATAATAGCATTTTATAAATAAAAAATTATAATAATCTATTAACTTATAGTAATATTTTAATAAATGTAAGTAGGTAAATGAATGTATGAATGATTCCTTTATATTATACTACAAATTGTATATTTAATTGATTTTTACATTATTGCATCTATATTTTTTTGTTGGATAACCCTTTTTTTTTTACAATACTATTCCAAATTCTAAAAATTTCTTTATACATCACGTGCATTTCTATGACACATTCATGACCACAGATTTTCATCACCTCTACATTCGATCTCCCTATTTTTCCTTTCAAACTAAAAATGCTTAGAGTATATGCTATATATTTGAAATACACATATAACATGTTGCTATCATATTGTTTTTAATTGAAGTTGAGATTATCTGACACTGAGATCACTTCAGCTAGCAAAAAGATGGCTTCGATGATGTCAAAGAGTGCGAGAAGAAAAAATGGGCGGAGTTGGCCCTCTGAGACGTGGATGGAATCTACCCCTTCAGGTGTGTTCAACACAAGAAGTAGACACATCGAAGAGGATGATGAAGATGATCTCAAATGGGCCTTGATCGAACGCTTACCCACCTTGGATCGCGTGAGGAAAGGGATGCTCAGAGTAGTTCTTGATAATGGTAAGGTTGAGTTTTGTTCGGTTGATTTCAACAATCTTGGGTTACAGGACAAGAAGCTGTTACTAGAGAGTGTACTAAAGTTCGTGGACGATGATAATGAAAAATTCTTACGTAGACTCAGAGACAGAATTGATAGGTATATTTTTCATTTTTTTTTATAATTGTATTAACGAGATAATTGAAGCTAAATTCTCATGCATTTGTCATTACCAAAGAAAAATTCTCATGCATTTGTCTAGTATTAAGAATAGACGTGAATTGAATAGAATTGGAAACATTTTCATGTCATTTGATCAACTTTAAATATTTCGGTTGGTTTATTTTATTTTATTTTATTTTTGTTTTTTATCTGATCAATGCTATTTATCATATTCAATTTAGTTTAGTTTACATCGAGTTATTGAAGTTATTATTAAAATGATAAATAATAATTAGTTATATTAAATAACTTGTAAAATACATTATTATAATAAGTCTACAAATTTTCAAGTTTATTTATTATGAGTAACACAATGAAAATAAAAAATAATAAGATATTTATTTAATTAGATAGATCCATTAATACTTGAATTAATTTTCGAAATCAAGATCTAATATTCGAATCAAACTGATTGATTTGTAGTTTTTTAATTTGAATCAATCTGCAGATTATCTTAATCAATTTAAATTTTTCTTTCGATTTAATTCGGATTGATTGGATCATTGGTCCGGACTCTTGTCCACAGCTGATCAGTATTTTTCATCTTTCAACATTTTTTTTTATTATTGATATTATTAATTGCTAATAAATATTTGTTGACCGAGTTTTATGTTATAAAAATACAGGGTGGGGATTAAAATTCCAAAAATTGAAGTCCGATATGAGGACTTATCGGTGGAGGGACATGTGTACGTTGGAAGGAGAGCACTTCCCACTTTACTTAATGTTACACTCAACATTTGTGAGGTGATTTTTTTTAGCTATTTTTTTTCCTTTGGTTTATTTTTTTAAAAATTTATTTTTAATGATATTTTTATCCAAGGAAAATAAATTATACAACCTTTAAAAGTAATGAAAAGGTATTCTCATTTGAAACATATATAAAATTGATTTTTTTTAATCAATTAGTGAGCTTTGGAGGGTAGTTTAAGGAATGAATTTCACTTTTCCTTATTGAGATTGAGAAAATTAAATGAAGTTAATTAACTTTTTTCTTTTTGACTTAATTTTTTTTAATCTGTTTTCTGACTTACATTTGAGACCGAAACAAATACATATAAACTTTAATTAACTGTTTGTTTTATACTAGTATATGTTATTGATGATAACACGTGTTCATCATTTTAGTTAAATTTGAAAGTATTAATGCTGTTTCATATAACTTTTTCTGATTCATTTATTGCGTGTTCGACAGAGTATCATGGGATTGGTTCGCCTTGTACCTTCCAATAAGAGAAAAAATCATATTCTCAGAAACATTAGTGGAATCCTAAAACCTTCAAGGTATAGCTTATAAAAATTCTTATAAAACATTAGCGGATGACATTTACTGATTAATTAATAATTTTAATATTTATTTAATGTTATTTGAGAATTAATTAACCTTATTTTATTTAACATGGTAACCTTAGGATGACGCTACTTCTAGGTCCTCCAGGTGCAGGGAAAACAACATTACTTCTAGCACTTGCAGGGAAGCTTGACCAGGATTTGAAGGTTCATTCACAATTAATTCTTCTTAGTTTTTATCATCTTAATTATGTGTAATTCTTTATGACGATTATTTTTATGTTATGAGCAGGCTTCTGGGAGAATCACATACTGTGGGCACACACTAGATGAATTTGTTGCAAGAAAAACATGTGCTTATATTAGTCAACATGACCTTCACTGTGGACAAATGACAGTGAGAGAGACATTGGATTTTTCAGCACGTTGTTTAGGTGTAGGCACGAGGAATGAAATGTTGGAAGAACTTTCAAGAAGGGAAAAAGAAGCAGGAATTAAGCCAAACCCTGATATTGATGCATTCATTAAAGCTATATCCATATCAGGCCAAAAATCTAGTTTGGTCACAGATTATATTCTCAAGGTTTGTAGCATAAACTCTCTGCATTGACTTAACTTTAGGTTATATAATACTACAATAATACTGGTAGTATAGAAGGATTCCTAGCTACCATAAAAGCATTAATGTCTAGGTACTAATTATTTGTGTGTATATTTACTTTTTATTTATGTTGTTATATTTTTATAGACACTTGGACTGGATACATGCGCTGATATTATGGTTGGGGATAACATGAGTAGGGGTATTTCTGGTGGACAAAAGAAACGTCTTACAACAGGTAAATTACTTCTCTCCATGCTTAACCAACAGACTTAATTTACTTCCTCCATTTCAAATTAACTGATAAGTACATGGATTTAGAAACATAATTAATAACTTAAAACTGGACCATTAAATTTTACTAAAACATTTTAGAAACACAGATTTAGAAATATTTTACTCAATAAATTTAAAACTAATCAATATAAAGATAGTAGTTTAAGATTCTGTGGTCTAATAGTAGTTGAAAAAACGAGCATTAAATAATATTATTTAATTTTTAATATAATATGTAAAAATATATTAAACAAAAAATAACATTTTATTTGTGACTTGGTACTCAACTCATACCTTTTTTAATGACAAGCAACTCATACATCATAACATATAATATTCAAAATTAAATATAAAATTAAATCAAATATATATGTTATAACATTGAAGTTCAATAAAAAATAATAATATCTATTAGCAACTCCAAATAGAAATTAAATAAATATATTTGATATGACTATCTATCATATCATAATAATATTAAGTTAAAATTATATCAATCATTACAATATTAAATTTTTTCAATTAAAAGATGGAATAAGTTTTTTTTTTATAGGGTTAAATGTTTACTGACCATTTCTTAGTTCAACTAGTTTGACTGTAGGTTTGGTCCAGATCTCTCTTTATTCTCTTGCTCAATTATTATAAATGCATTATTAAATATTTCAAAACTAATATTTATTCGGGGGAAATTAAAATAAAAATTAACATTTTATTGGAAATTCAAAAGTGTCCGTCAATATGAATTTTTTATAACGCTATAATGTCAATATAACTTTTAAAATAAATGGAGTATTGAATAAGAATATATTATTTTTTATATTATTATATCCAATTACATATTATCGTATATAGTGTGATATTGAGTTTTATAATAATCATTTTGAAAGTTAAAATCCTAATATTTGATTGTAAAAAATGCAATATTACTTTTTGACATTTATTTTTATTTTTATTATATTGGTGAACTAATTTCATTCTAGCAAGTAACTTCAAATCTTTATGGATGATGCTACTATGGGATTTTATTTGATATGAAAAAAGTATTGACAATAACGGCTTGGTTATTTTCCAATTAATGGTTTGTATAAAAACATTTATTATCTACTAATCTGTTGTACTTGGGTGTAGGGGAGATGCTGGTAGGACCAGCGAAGGCATTATTTATGGATGAAATATCAACAGGATTGGACAGTTCTACTACTTTTCAAATATGCAAGTTCATGAGGCAAATGGTTCATATAATGGATGAAACAATGGTGATTTCTCTTCTACAGCCAGCACCAGAGACATTTGAACTATTTGACGACATTATCCTACTTTCAGAAGGTCAAATTGTATACCAAGGTCCACGTGAGAATGTCCTAGAATTCTTTGAAAACATGGGTTTCAAATGCCCTGAAAGAAAAGGAGTCGCGGATTTTTTACAAGAAGTAACATCTAAGAAAGATCAACCACAGTATTGGTTTAGAAGAGATGAACCTTATAGGTATGTTTCAGTGTCTGAATTTGTGCAATCCTTCCATTCATTTCACGCAGGAGAGCAACTTGCAAAAGAGTTGAAGGTACCTTATGATAAGAGCAAAACTCATCCTGCTGCATTAGTGAAAGACAAGTATGGCATATCAAACTGGGAAATATTGAAGGCGTGCTTCTCAAGAGAATGGCTACTTATGAAACGTGACATGTTTGTTTACATGTTTAGGTTGTCGCAAATTACATTGTTATCTGTTTTAGGCTTCACTGTATTCTTTAGAACCGAAATGCCAGTGGGAAATGTTCAAGATGGACAAAAATTCATTGGAGCACTGTTTTTTAATCTAACGAATATGATGTTTAATGGGTCATCAGAACGAGTCTTGGTTGTTAATAGGCTTCCTGTGTTTTACAAACAAAGGGATTTCATGTTCTTCCCTGCATGGGCACTTGGATTACCTATGACGGTTCTCAAGATCCCAATATCCCTTATGGAATCAGGATTATGTGTTATCCTTACATACTATACCATTGGATTTGCTCCTTCAGCTGACAGGTATAGTAATACTATGACTTAATTTGCCTTCTGATTTTCCTGATTAACATGGTAGTAGTAAGAAACTTAGAGATTACTTTCAAATTAGTTTTTTATTTGGTTTTGGAGACTATTAATTATGAGGAGAAAATCATGAATATTGACACACACATATATATCCTTTTGTTTCATCAGGTTTTTCCGGCAATTCTTCGTATTTTTCGTCATTCATCACATGTCTGTCTCTCTATATCGACTCCTTGGCGCAGTTGGCAGAACAAATGTTATTGCTGGCGTGGTGAATGGCTTGCTTTTTCAATTAATAGTTGTATTAGGAGGATTTATTATTGACAAAAGTGAGACATCAATCGCTTCTTAATCTTTTCATATTAAAGTTAAATTTTTTATATTTGTAGCTCTTCTTTTATAGTCATTACATTGTTGACAAATGTTGCCTTTATATATGCCTGCAGATGATATTAAGCCATGGTTGAAAGGTGTCTCTTACATTTCTCCTATGATGTATGGACAAAATGCCTTAGTAGTAAATGAATTTTTAGATGAAAGATGGAGTAAAGTAAGAACCATTTTTCTCATTCCTTTTATTTTTCACTGCCTATGTTATGTATGAAAAACTTTACAATCAGGCTAAATTACTTTTCAAAATGTCTAAAGTATTGTCAACTATGTTTGTACATTTTGTAGCCAAATACAGACCCTAAAATAGATGAACCTACAGTTGGAAAAGCACTTCTCAACTCTAAAGGCTTTTACACAGAAGAATATTGGTTTTGGATATGCATTGGAGCCTTGCTTGGGTTTGCTATTATTTTCAACCTTCTCTTTGTCGCTGCATTGATGTATCTGAATCGTAAGTTTTTTTTTTTTTTTTTTTTGAAGTCCATAAGTGAATAGTATTTTTAGCACCGGTAAACCTTTTTAACATGAAGCTGAAATTTCAGCTTTTGGTGATTCAAGCGCATTCATCACGGATGAAGATGACAAGAATGAAAATTCAACTTCTAGACAACATATCATTAATAATGAAGGTGATTCTTGGTGATTTCAACGGTATTTTATTGTTATTGATAGAAATATAGGTTATAATAACCGACAACATTAAGTTTGGAAAAGGAATCAGATAATTTAGTTGCTACTTGTTCTCCTTAATGAGTTGAAGTTTTTGAAGTACACATATTATTCAAGATGTTGCAACATTTTTAGAGAAGTTTAATCACACATTCTTTTCATGCAAATCAAATTATTTAATAAGGCCATTTCATTTATACTATAACTTTTTGATAAACAGGAGGTCCAAGTGTAAACATTATTAGCTCTTCTAATCAAGAACGAAGAACAGGAATAGTCCTATCATTCCAACCTCTCTCACTTACATTCAATTATGTGAACTATTACGTTGATATGCCTTCCGTAAGTCACTTAATTTTAATTTATGCATTCTTTTGTGATTAAAAAATATCTTTAATCTTGCGAATGTAAGTATCATCTTAATTGGTGCTATTCTATCATTTTCATTAAAATGTTTTTTCCTTTCCAAAACAGTAGAATGAAAAAGAGGGGAGTACTTTTGTTTTGGATAACATATCTTATTGCTAAAAATTTCGACGTACAAAATAAGACAACACAAAAGAGTGGTTTTAAACTATCACTTTATGAAAATGTTGAACATCAAGCCTACCCTGAAATTTATTGGTACCTATTTTTATTTGATAATAAGGTTTTCAATTTTGTTTTAATACATCAGGAAATGAAGAGTCAAGGAATCAACGAAGATCGACTTCAACTGCTAAATGATGTGAGTGGTGCTTTTAGACCAGGCGTATTGACAGCACTTGTGGGTGTTAGTGGTGCTGGGAAGACAACCCTTATGGATGTGTTGGCTGGAAGAAAAACAGGTGGATACATTGAAGGAAGTATTAGCATCTCAGGTTATCCAAAGAACCAATCAACATTTGCTCGTGTCAGTGGTTATTGCGAACAAAATGACATTCATTCTCCAAATGTTACTGTATATGAATCACTATTATTTTCTGCATGGCTTCGACTTACCTCAGATGTAACTACACAAACACGAAAGGTGTGTTGGAACAATCTTTGTCATCTTAGCCAATGAACAATTTACTAAGTTTTTAATGCAGCATTTTTTTCAATATCTTTGATGTAGTTCTAATTTTGTTTGGTGATGTAGATGTTTGTTGAGGAAGTTATGGAGTTGGTTGAGCTTAAACCAATTAAAGATGCTATAGTGGGTCTTCCTGGGGTAAATGGTTTATCAACAGAACAAAGGAAAAGGCTTACTATTGCTGTAGAATTGGTTGCCAACCCTTCAATTATCTTCATGGATGAACCAACATCTGGCCTTGATGCTAGAGCTGCTGCTATTGTTATGCGAACTGTGAGAAATACAGTAGACACTGGGAGAACCGTTGTGTGCACAATTCACCAACCAAGCATAGACATTTTTGAAGCTTTTGATGAAGTATGTCTGGAATATGAATTAACTAGAGTTCATATGTGTCATGTGTCATTTCTTTAGTAGATTGTTGCTCTATATCTGAGTAATATATATAACAATTTTCTTTCTTTGATTTCGCAGTTATTATTGATGAAAAGAGGAGGACGCATTATCTATGCTGGACCTCTTGGTCTCCACTCACATAAGCTCGTAGAATACTTTGAAGTGAGTATCGAATGTTTTCTTTATAGTTTGAGCATTGTGTTTGGAGTTTATTGATTATAGATCTAATACACATTCTCTGATTTAGGCCATTGCAGGTGTTCCAAAAATAAAAAATGGCTATAATCCTGCCACATGGATGCTTGACATCAGCACTCCTTCAATTGAGACCCAACTTGGCATAGATTTTGCAGAGATTTATGCTAACTCTACACTTTACCAGTAAGTGTTGTGATTTTGTCACTAATATGCATGGTTATATGGTACTAGAATTCTAGGTTTATAAAATATATAACTTCATTTTCTTTATACTTTCTTCAGAAGGAACCAAGAGCTTATCAAAGAACTTAGCACCCCAGCACCAGGTTCCAATGACTTGTGCTTCTCTACCAAATATTCCCAATCATTCTTTGTGCAGTGGAAAGCTTGTTTTTGGAAACAATATTGGTCATATTGGAGAAATCCTAGCTATAATGGCATTCGACTCCTCTTCACATTATTCGTTGCTTTGTTGCTTGGTGTAATCTTCTTGAATAAAGCCAAAACAATGTAAGTCATTGAATAATTTACATATTTGTTCAAGCTTGTCTATAATCTTTAAATTAGAAGATGATTTTCCTCTCAAGTCTTATCAATGTATTGGTATATATTTTGATAATGTTGCACATTTGAAGTTAATATTGACTATTGATGAACTAATTTTGTTGACAGCCAAAAACAACAAGATTTATCCAATGTTTTGGGAGCCATGTTCACTGCTATGTTGTTCCTTGGAGCCACTAATGCAATGGGAGTGCAACCAATTGTTGACATAGAAAGAACTATTTTGTATCGTGAAAAAGCCGCGGGGATGTATTCAGCATTGCCCTATGCACTTGGTCAGGTATAAATGCATTATGTATATGAAGAGATATCTAAATCAAATTTTCTTATTATAGTTGTTTATAAGGTTATATATACTCAATAAAGGCATGCTTTGGATTCAACCAAAACCAAATAAATTCCATTGTTATTTGTTCAATGAAAATAATTTTATGAATGTTTTAAACTGATGCATCTTTATTACATAGATTTCCTTGGTAGAAGCCTTATCCCAATGGAGAATAATAATATTAATATGTAATCATCAAACTAAAACGCATTTCATTGATTTTGCAGGTGACAGTCGAGGCAATTTATAACTTAATTCAAGCAGCTATTTACACTATTGTCTTTTATTCTATGATTGGGTTTGAATGGAAGGCAGGGAAATTGTTCTCATTCTACTACTTCAATTTGATGAGTTTTATCTACTACACATTGTATGGTATGATGGTTGTAGCAATAACCCCAAGTTACCAAATTTCTACCATTTGTAGTACTGTCTTCTTGAACTTTTGGAACTTGTTCTCCGGCTTTGTCATTCCTAGGACGGTATGTTACTTGCCACTTTGATATATAATCCATGTTTGATATGCTAGAAATAAGACTCTTTAATTTCTTTTACATTTAGAAAGTTATATTTCTTCAAATATATATATATATATATATATATATATATATATATAT